TTTTTGTTTTCCACGATTAGCTTGCGCCTCCTCGGACTAAGTATGTAAGGTTTAATTTGAAATGTGTGTAATTATTATTAATAGTTCGCGTAAACGCGCGGTGATGACTCTATTTAATAGTTCGCTTCGCTTTTTGTTAATCGGTAGTTACTATTAATTAAAGTTCATAGAAACAATTTGAAAAAAAAATTAATCAATACTTCTTTATTTTGGTTGAGGGGTTGATGCGGTCGACTCGCAACGCGCGGCGATGACTGTATTTAATGATGCGGTCGGTTTACCAAAAGACTTGCCACTGCGGACTGCGGGGGCAGCATTATTAAACACCAGTGCGGGACTGCGGTGGCAACTTTTCAAGTGAGACATTTTTGTGGCCGGATGTTCTGCAATCTAGCCCGACATTTTCTAACCAGATCAGATCTTTTGTTCAGCAAGTTGACATTGCGATTGCTTAAGGTACATTAAACAAACCGACAGTGGTTTAGCGTAGTCTGTACTCTTATCAACAACGATATTCATCCTCACAGTGGTCAAAATGTTGTGGACTCTGCAAGCGCAGCCGATTGGTCGACAACAAATATCGACGTCAAGTAAAGGCATTGTTTGAGTGCGTGTCACGTTGACATGAGCAGCTTTCTCTGTACTCATATCGACAACGGCAAATTGGCCGATCAGATTGCGACATTATTGCCACTTGTGGTAAAAAAGCTCCTTGTAGTAACCAGTAATAGAAAGCACAGTTCCAACCGAACTAAAAAATTTTTTAATGGAATTTTTTAATTAAAAACTTGAGCGTGTAAGTCTGCTTTCGTAGAATACCCTTCAGTCTGATGATAGCATAATAGGGGAAACTTAAGTCATATAAAATCGATGTTTTCCTCAACCTATCTATCAGATTACTTTAGGACAAGTGAAACAACCTACGCAGACTATATTCAGCCACTTAAAAAAGTAGAATAACATTCGCGCACAACGGTCTCATTGTGTGTTATCATTTGCCTTTTTCAGTTTGGGATCATTGGCCTTTGTACACGTTAAATCTCTTACTAACACAAAAATGAATTCGCACAATGCGGTGAAAGGAAAAAAATATACTATTTAGTATCGGTGTGTTGTCCTAGTACATGTGTAATCACTTTGTATGTAACACTTAAATTCAACTAACAATTTATTTTGTCGTTCCTTCCTCTTTAAAATTATGGTTTATGGACATTTTAGCGGGTAAGAAAATGTTTTAATTCAGAAATCATGTTTCAAGCAAAACGCTAAAAAATTCAAAATTTAACAACACTTCCCGAAGCATTTCTCTTTATTTTTACTCTTCAAAGTGGTTCGCGATTCATGTAAATTTTAGTCAAATAAAACAATTTGACTTTCTTAGCTTTGCAAGGGATATTATCTAAACTTTCGCT